TTCACTGCATGAATGAATGGATGAAGTGTGAAACCCTGTCCCCACCTCCTCCGGTGGAGAAGTAGGGGGAAGCATCCAGCGCTGTACCCTCCCTGGCACTGGCCCAGAAAGCATCACTGCCACCTGCGGGTGAGCAGCGGAAAGTGCGCGCTGACGGAGGAAGGCCACATGGGCACTGTGGGGGAGGTGAGATCCTGGCTGGCCTGAAGGAGGGGCTGGGGATGCAGACACCTGCAGAATCTGCCCGGGTGCCACAGGCCTTCAACTCTGATCCCCTGGCTAGGTGCGCTCCTGCCCGTGTAAGTTTAGGCTCCATGAAAGGAGCCGGTGCTGTGGAAGGAGAGGGGGTTTCTGGAGAGCAGCCTCAGCAGCCAGTGCTCAGACAGTGCTGTCTGTGAGTGCATCCGAGCACCTGAGGGGTGTTAGCTGCCATTTTCTCTTCCCAGTCACCCTGTGAGAAGGCATGAGTATTATCACCCTCATTCTACAGAGAGGGAATCAAGGCCCAGAGGGGGAGGGTCATTTGCCTATGGTCACACAGCTACTAAGAGGTAAAGCCCTGACAGACTGATTTCCTGCTCTTAAGTCCTATGCTGTACTGTTCTAAAAACAGTAATAATATTAATAACAGAAAATATTTATTGACATCTATATATCAAGTTTATGACTTTTTAAAAGCCTTTTTAATTCTACATCCTCTCATGAAGGAGATATGATGGGGAAACTGAGGCCCAGAGAGGTTGAGTCACTCGCCCGAGGTCACCCAGCTGGCAAGTGGCAGAGCCTGCATTTGAGCCCGAGCCTTCTGGTTGCAGAGTATAGCTCTTGGGCACCTCCAGCCACCTGGCTGACACCGATGCACCCTCGAGGTGCAGAGGGCAGCAGGATGAGGTGCTCCTGCAGCCCGTCACAGCTGGTGACCGAGACCACAGTCACAGGATGGCATAGGGAAGCTATGTGCAGACCAGGCCCAGGTTGGGCGAGCCACTTGTCCCAGCTGGCACAACCAGCTTGGAGGAGCTCGGGCGGTCCTGAGCCTGGGCTTACCTGCCCCTTAACCCTGCCTGGCCCCTGCAGCCAACAGAGACATGGCGTCCATCGTGTCTGAGATCATGATGTATGTGCTCATCGTGGTGTTGACCATATGGCTTGTGGCAGAGATGGTTTATTGTTACAAGAAGATCGCTGCTGCCACAGAGGCTGCTGCGCAAGAAAATGCGTAAGTGGGGTCAGTGAAGAGGGGGAGGCGACCCAGGACTGCCCAGAGTGGGGTGTGAGTGAAGAGGGGAGAGGGAGGGGTTCACTCCCGGGCACCATCTGCCAGTTGTCCCTAGAGGGGGACATGGGTTGTCAGAGATGGGAGAAGGTCCCAGCCCCTCCTCTCTCTTACTCTCAGTCCCACTTCTTTTAGGACCTAGGGTTCAGGCCCAGCATACTGTCCCCCACAATATAGGAGTCCGGGTCCCAGCCTCTTTCTTCCACGGGACCCAGGCGTTTGAGCCCCCAGTCCTCTCCCGCCTCAGACGCAGGACTCCAGACTCCAGCCTGGACTTCTTATGGGTCACTAGGAGTCCGGCCTGTCACCCCTCCTTTCTCTAACTCCGGAGCCCTGTGCTCCTGGGGCAGAGACCAAGCCTTCCTTAGCCTTCTGGCGGTGGGCCAGCCTGGTGAAGGGGTCACTGTCCACCTGGCTTTGCTCCCACAGTTCGGAATACCTGGCCATCACCTCAGAAAGCAAAGAGAACTGCACGGGAGTCCAGGTGGCTGAATAGCCCTGGTAAGGTGGCTGTGTGGGCAGGGGCTGGTAAGTCCGGGAGGGGGTCAGTGCACTAGGTCCCTGATCCTGTTTCTCCCTCACCTTTAGGCCCTGGGCTCCTCAAGGAAGAGCCAGCCCTAAAGGGGAACTTCCGGGCAAAGCCTGCCCCCAATGGGGGTTGGCCATTCCGGGGCCTCCACAGCCTCAGAGTCCTGCCAGCGGAGCTGCTAGGGTGGGGGGACAGGCGGCTTAGCTCACGCCCTCAATCCAGCCTTCTCCCTCCTGCCCACGTCCCACTCTCGCCATGCATGATGGCTAAAGCAATATGCCGCTGCCGCCACCCCTGCTTCTGCTGCCTGTTTTTTTGGGGGGGCGGTGAGGTGGGGGCAGCGGCTCCGCACCCCTCCTTCTTGCTGATTTGCACACGTGGGCCGCTCAGACACGCGCTGTGGGCCCGGCCCCTCCCTGCCCAGCGGGGTCGTGACGGCCAGAACAGTTTTGCGCAGGGGGCGCTGGAGCCCACGTCAGCCCTCACCGACATTCCCCCTGCTTCCTCTGGCCGGACCTGGGGCCCTCTCCTGTGATGCTCCCTTGCCAGCCCCCCTCTCTCACCAGCCTTGGATTGTGGCCACTTAGAGAGTGGTCCAGACAGCCTCTTCTCTCTTTACACAAGTAGTTTTGTTCGTGAAATAAAGATTCTTGGACTTGATTTCTAGTCTCTCTCGTGAACCCAGTCGCCCTCCACACCCCACCCCCAAATCCAAGAGCCTCAGTTTCCCCGGGACCTGCCCTCCCTACACAGTCAGGGATGAGGATGGGGAAGGAACAGGTGGGTGCAGTGTCTCAGGCTCAGTGCCTGCTGAAAGCCCAGCAATTGCAGCCACTTAGAACTTGATTAATGTGGGATTGGGGTGTCATTAGCTCAGCGGTGACGGGAGTGGGAGGGAGGCTGGGAGGGAGCCAGCAGGCAGCGCAGGAGGCACGGCGGCTGGGGCGTGGGTTTCTGTGTGGCCCAGGCCAGCGGTGCCGACCAAATCATTCAGCACAAATGAATCAGGAGGCTTCGTTAAAATTAAAAACGGCAAAGTATTCAAGGGTCTTGGGGTTTGCAAATAAACACTATCACGTGATACCCAGAGTGTTCCCAAGAAGAGATAAAGATGGAGAGCTCATACAGAAAAAAGCACATGCGCGAGGGAGAAGTCGGTGCTGCATTCCTGGCTTCTGAACGGGTCTGAAGTTGTGGTCAGATGCCAGGGGTCTGGATACAGGAACATTCTTACCCAAGCTCTTCAGAGGGCCATCTATAGGGTTTACACCTCCAGCCACTGATGCATGGCTGGAAAGCCGAAAAGTTCTAGTTCCAAGTCTAGTCAAAGCAAAAATAGAATTGTTTTCTCATAAGATAGGTACCTTTTCCTAACTGACTTTAGAAATGTAACAGCCGCTACAGTGACTCCATTTCATTTCTTCCCTCCTTCCTCGGCAGTGTGGGTCTCTGGATGGTGGGAGGTGGGGAGGGGGAGAGAGACAGGGCTGAGCAGCACCAGGCCCAGGCAGTGTGTCCCGGTGGGGCTGCGGCCGAGAGGGGTGAGCGAGTGGGGCTGGCTGTGCCAGGACAGCGTCGCGGGGGAGGAAGGGCTGTGGTCTGTTTCTGTGGCTGCCCGCAGTCAGGTGTCTGGTGGTGTCTGGCTGTTTATCTGGACCTGGGCTGTGACGTGGATCACTCTGACCACTAGAGTGACAGTGTGTATTTGCCATTGGTCACTTCCGGCCACTTGGCTTGGGCCCCAGCACGCAGTGCTGCCTTTTCCGGGCCAAGCCCCTTCCCCCCTCCTAGGACTCTGCAGGCTCCAGAGGTCATTGCTGCCGGCAGCAGAGAGGCTGCCAAAGCAAACCAGCCCCCGTGACTTGTAGGAAAGCAGCTGGGGGAGGGGGTGGAGGGGTTCAAAACAGACGGACTGGGCAGGGGACTTGGGAAGGGTCAGAGGCTGGAGCCAGAGTTGGGGCAGGGAGGAGTCTGGGGAGGGGTCTGGGGCAGGGCCTGGAACTGGGGCAGGGACAGGGGCTGCCTTGTTCAGGAGCTGGACAGGGGGTGTTGCAAGGGGCCAGGGTGGGCAGGGACAGAGTTAGGCCTGAGCTGGGGAAGGCCGGGGGCTGGGCAGGAGGCAGGAGGCAGGGCAGTTGGGGGACTCTGTCCGACTCCCTCTAATTCATACCCCCATTCTTTACTCTTCGTAAGCACCCCCAGCCTGCTCTGTTTCCCCAAAGCCATGTCCCCAGACCAAACCGGCCCCTACACCCACCTCCCCTTGACTGGCACACATGGGCCCACCCCTCAGGCTGGAGGGAGGCAGGTGGCTGGGCTCCCCTGGCCCAGCCCCTGCAAACCCTGCCCCATCAGCCAGGTGGCCTCTGGTGCTGCCAATCCCTTTGCCCGCCCCTCCACACCCCTTTCCCCGCCTCCTGCCCAGCCCCCTCCTCCTCAGGTGAGGCAGCCAGGCCTAGCAGGCCCCACGCCGCTGCCTCTGCCTCCTGGCCGCCGCCGCGGGGCCACCATGCTGCTTTCCAGGCCTGGAGACTGACCCTTAACTGGCACCATCTCTCAGCTTCGCCCCCACCGGCCGGACCCCAGGGTAAGGACCAGGGCCCTCCGTTCCAGTCCTCAGGCTCGGGGTCCCCTCACTCCCACCCAGCCTGACGCCCCCCTCCCAACTGAGGGAGTCCCAGGGACCCCAAGAGTGGGCGCTCACACTTCTCTCTAAGGACCTGGAAGCAGCCCCCCCCCCTTCAGATTCAGGGGTTGGGCCCCAGTCTCCTTCTCCCTCAGAACTGGGTGCCCTGCCCCTCCACCCCTCCAACTGCATACCATGGAGTCCTGGCCCCCAAAACCGTCTTTCCCTGGGGCGCAGGGTTTTAGGCCCCCCCCTCCCGCCTGGGGATTCAGACCCCCAGTCCTCTGTCCTCCAGGCTGGGACAGGGAGCCCCCCGCCTGCACATCAAGGTGTCTCCCTGGCCACTGGTCAGACACTGACCCCATCCTTGAACCCAGCCAGTTGAGCGTCCGTGATCACTGCGTGCTCTGGCCGGGGCCCAGTCCTCCAGCCTCCCTGGATGGGCGCCTGGGCCTGGGGGCACGGGAGCTGGGCCGGGCTCCCCAGGCCCTGCCTTTCCGTTCATCTCCCCACAGGTCCTGCCCCGGCCCAGGAGGTCAGCCGGGGAATCATTAACAAGAGGCTGTGACATGGCGGAGAAGGAGGGTGAGTCCCCCTTTGCGCGAGTCCCAGCTCTGGCTCTGCCCGACGGCCCCCTCCCTCTGTGCTTTCTTCCCAGCCCTCCACCCGGAGCCCCCTCTCCCTGGCACTCCTCCCAGCCCATCCCTCCCCCTCGGAAGCCTTCTCCGCCCCATTAACTATTGCCACATGTCCTGTGAGTCTGCGCCACCACCTGCCCACCTGCTGCCCCGCAGGACCTTCCAGGCCCCTTGCCTCAGTTTCCCCTCACCTCCCAGCAGTTCCTCAGCTGACCCTGGGCCTCTCTTCTTCACGTGGGGCTGTGGTGGGGAGACTGGCTGTTACGGTTAAGGACACAGACTCTGGAGTTGAACCTTTCGGGCTGAGTTTGAATCTGCGTCTGCCACTTTTTGTTGTGTGATCTTGTGCAAGTGACATCATTTTCCTGGACTTCAGTTCGCCCCCTGGGTCAAGCACAGATCCTACTGCCACACGAGGTTTTTGGGCGCAGGGACGGCAGCAGGGCAGGCTGGGAGGTTGGGAGCAGGATGGCGGCGGCGGGGGCTTGGCCTGTGAGATGCGTGCTGTTAAACAAAGCTCATGACAGAGCTCAGCAGACTTGGAATCTGGGGATCTGAGACCCCCACCAATCCAGACATTCCTCCTGCTGCCTGGCATTGTGTGCAAAAGAGCAGAGAGAGGACTTTGGACCTGGCAGGATGGAAGGAGAGGGGAGAGAGCAGAGAATCTACTCCAGGGCAATGGGAAGAAGCCACTGCCAAGTGGCTGGCACTAGAGGGCTCTTGGCAGCCCCCCGCCAGGGCTTTCCACAGCCCGGGTACCTGGGCCCTCCCCGCACATGGGCCAGCTGGGGGCTGGGGGAGCAGCTCTTCCTCCCTGCCCTCCAGCTGGACGGACTCCCTCTCCTCCTCCTGGAACCGGGCTAGCTGGGTTCGGTCCTAGGTAGCAGTGCTTTCTAGCTTTAAGGCCCTGAGCAAGCAGTATGCCTAACTCTCCGGGCCTCAGTAGATGGTACTCATGCACACTTCACAGGGTGGTGCGGGTATTTAATGCAGGAAGTGCTGAGTGTGTTGTCTGCAGTGATCAGTGTGGATCACTGGCTCCTTGGGTCTCAGTACAGTTAGCCACTCATTCCCTCAACCATTTAGCGGTGGCCAGAGTGCGGCCAACTTCCAGGGGCTCAGGAGAAGGCGCTCCCTGCATTGAAATACTCACACCATCCTGTCCTCTCCATTTTGCAAACGATGGGCAGGATGGACAGAGACAGGTCTGGGCGCAGAGGGAACTGAGGCATAGTGGGCTCCTGTGCGTCCTCAGGCAGCTCAGGCCCAGTCTTGGAGGGGAGTCTGGCTGGAGGGTGTGGTCAAACCAGGACATAGATGCTGAAAGGTTGTGGTGCTGTGCTTACGTGCTGGGTGACCTGGGGTCGGTGGCTGCACCTCTCTGGGCCTCTCTTCCTTACCCATAAGCCAGGGTGGGGATAACAATAATACCTTCCTCACCAACAGTCGCAAAGACTTGAGGATCTGCAGGTCACGGCCGAGAGCTGGCGTGCAGGTTGAGAGCATCGCTGCTGCATTGGTTGCTCGGCCTTGTTAGGCCCAGCGCGAGGGTCCTGGTGCCCCTCAGCCTTGCAGGAGGTGATGTCTGGGTTGGCACTCATGATGAGGAGGGAGTAGGAGGTGTGCCAGGCAGAGGGAACAGCCTAGCTAAATGTCGCTGGGGGCACAGTGGCTCATGGCTAATTGGGTATTCCTGGAAGTAAAGTTGAAATGGAGCTGAGAGGGTGATGAGGTGTGTCAGTGGGACCCAGGTCTGTTCCCACTATTTTTTATGAGGGGCAGGCAGACACCTGGGTGTGCTGGGTCTCTCCACAAGGTGGCGCTGTCTGTTATTCATTGTTGCTCTTTTCTATTATAACTTCTATTTGTAAGTTCTGTGGTTTTAGTTGTTTTTTGGAAGGGCTCTCAGGTTAGGGGAATATATGTTCAACTCTCAAATCGCTACCAGCTGTGCTTATGTATGAGGGTTGCTGGCGCCACAGGGCTGAGGCCTTGGACTGTGTCCTGTGGAACACTGGGGAGTCACGGAGAGTTCTCGGGAAAGTAGGGATAGATTGGGTTTGATATTTAGCAAGAGCCCCCAAGCTTCCATGTAGAGGCTGGACCAGAGGGGGAGCCTGAGCCAGGAGTTGGATGGAGTGAGGGACAGGGAAGAAGAAGGTGGGCAGGAGACTTCAGGAGGCCTGCAAGCTCTGAAGGGAGGAAGGTGTCCTGCAGAGGAGGGGCAGGCCTGAGGATGAGGGCCTCAGGTGTGACCTGGGGATTTTGGAAGACATGGAGGCCAGTGTGGGACCTGAGGTGTGAAAGACCTAGAAGATTCCAGGAAGGGACATCTAAGAGGCTGCAGGACCCTCATCTGCAGGAAAGTCCTGGCCTGGGTCAGAAAAGGGAAACTGAGGCTGTGGAGACCGGGGAGACCATGGCCCGCTCTGTGAATTCCAGAGTTCAGAGATAAATAGGTCAGGAGATGGAGAAGGCCTGTCGGAGAAGTAGAAGGCAAGACTTCTGGGTGTCCCAGAGTTGTAGTTGGGTTGAGGGGGACTTAGACATGAAGTTGTCAGCTGAGTAGAATCTCAGAGACACGAGCCAGAACTGTCACTTGTGAGGGTTTTATAGACAAATGGTGGGGGCAGAAGGAGGTGCCCTTGCAGGAGTGCAGAGCAGAGCCTCTGGGTGAAGTTGGGGGGTTGGGGAGGGGGAACCTGGCTCACTGATCTAAAAGGCCCGTGGCTCCCATAGAATCACAACAAGGATGGTCTTCTCTCAGTGAGGGTGCTTCCTGTCCACCAGAGGCACCTGTTGGGGGGTTGCTCGAGGTCCCCTGAACCAGAGGGCATGGAAGGAGGCTCTTCCTCTCACCCTAGGAGACATGGGTGGCAGAGCTTTCTGCCTTAGCAGGCACAGCAGAGCGCAGCTGAAAACAAAGGAACCAGGACCCCTTACTAGAACCAGGAAAGTGGGAGGTACCGAGTTGGGAGTGGGCCTGGGACATAGCGAGGTCTGCCAGCTGGGCCTCTTTGGAGGAAGGGAGTGTTCTTTCATGCCTGACGAGAATGGCTGGGCTCTCAAATTCTTAAGACACCCGGACAGTGCCATCCCAGGAAGGTCCTGAACTGCTCCCCACTCTGTTCCAGGTGCTTGGCTGGCCCTGTGCCTATCGGCCTGACGACCATGACACAGACGAGAGAATGGGATCTCCTGTAGCCCTGGGAGTGCCTTGCAGATGCCAAGGGCAGTCAGGCACATGCCAGGCCCAGCTGAAGGCTTTCAGCAGCCTTTTCTCTTTGTTCCTTTCGAAGTGCCTAGCCAAGGGGTTGGGTCTTAATCCCCAAGGGCCCTGGTGTACAGGGAGTGAAACCCATCTTCACCTTAGGTCCCAGGCCTCCCTGGCTGGCTCCAGCTTTGCTTCCACTGTCTCCTCCAAGTGCAGGCCATTCTGGCCACATCAGTGGCCTCTCTTACCCTCTAACAGATCATGATTACTCTTGCCTTTCACTATGCTCTTGGATGGAGAGTGTTCTTCCTTAAGGCCTTTGCATGGCTGGCCTCATTTCAAAAGTCACTTATTAGGGTTGGGCTTGTGTGGCTCAGTGGTTGAGCATCTACCCATAAACCCAGAGATTACTGTTTTGATTCCTGGTTAGGGCACGTGCCTGGGTTGCAGGCTCAATTCTCATTAGGGGGCATGCATGAGGCAGCTGATTAATGATCTTTCTCTCTCATTGTTGTTTCTATCTCTCTATCCCTCTCTCTTTCAAATCAATAAAAAGAAACCCGTATTTTTTTTAAAAATCACTTATTAGGGAGGCCCTCCCTGAGCACCCTACAGAAGCTACCGGCTGCCCCGACATGCATTGCTTCCTTTATGATCTCTGCCATAACTGGAAGTTATCAAGTTCATTTATTGTCTACTTATTCACCTCCCCGTCACCTCACACACTTGAGAATGTGAGCCCTATGGCCAGCATCTCATCCATCTTGTTTTGGGGTGTCCCTAGAGCCTAGAATGGTACCCAGTACACAGCAGATGCTCAACGGGACAATGAATGAATGAGATTCCATTTTACCGATGAGAAGACTGAGGCCCAGAGAGGTGAAGGGAGTTGCTAGGACCACACACTGCTTTAATGATTGAAAGGCACTTTTTGAGAACTTACTATATGCCAGGGACTGTGTACAAGGAGAGGTAGCATGGCTTAGTGGTTATATATTTGAGCACCAGCTCCAATACTTCCAGGGTTCAGGACCCAACACTGCCTCTTGCTAGCTGAGTCACTTCAGGCATGTGATTCTCCTCTGGGCCTCAGTTTCCCCTATATGAAAAAAGGGACTCATACTGAGATAAGGACTGAATAAATTACTGCATTTAGAGCAATACCTAGAGCATAATAAGCATCTGATAAGAGTTCGGCTATTATTTAAAAGAACTTTATTATTTAAAAGTATTATTTTTAGAGGTGAGTACTAGGTGAGGAAACTGAGGCTCAAAGAGGTGGTGTCACCTGTCCCAAGGTCTCAGCTAAGAGTGGGGAAGGTCAGTATTTAGAATTTAGGCTGGCAAGTTTTTAAACTTAAGTTCTTAACCTCCAGGGGCAAACTTGATCTTGGAGCTGGGTGGTATGGGAAAAGTCTGGTACCCAGGGACAGAGGGTCTGGGACATTAGAGAGAAGTGAGGCAGTGAGGGAATGCCAAACAGCTGGGAGGAGAGCTGCCAAGAGGGCAAAGGTCAGGAGTCACAGCCCCCAAGAGGCTCCAAGAACGTCTGGGAAAGTCAGCAGAAATGAGAGGTCCAGGAAGAGCTGTCCCAACGTGATGACGGGGCTACAAAGCAGCGTCACTGGGGAGGAGACATGCCAGGAGTGCAGGCAGCGAACGTGGCAGCTGTCCCGGCCCATCCCCTTCCCAGCAGAAACCCTTGAGGAGCTGGACACCTGGCTGTCCTCGCTGCAGGGGAGAGGCAGCCCTGCCCACTGGGCCTGGTAGGCTCAGACATGTGGGGGCAGAAAGAGCTGACCCTGTGCCCAGCCCCCCCTGACGGGGACAGGCCTGGCTGTGGCCCCAGTGTGGTCTCCGTTGCAGGCGGCCGGACTGTGCCATGTTGTTCCGGATCCAAAGTAGCAGCTCTCACTGCAGGGACGCTGCTGCTGCTGACAGGCATCGGGGCAGCATCCTGGGCCATCGGTGAGAGTGGCCCCCGCACCTCTACCCTCCCCTGCCCCTGTGGCCCCAGCCTACCTGCCCTCACCTCTGCCTTCTCTGCAGTGACCGTTCTGCTCAGGAGTGATCAGAAGCCACTGTATCCAGGTGAGTGAAGCAGGCGGGGACCCTCTGGGGCGCCCTGAAGGAAACCTGGGCCTGGTGGGAGCTCAGCTAGAATGAATGCACTCGTGCCGAGTGCTTGTCTGGACCAGGTGCTGCTGTAAGCAGTTCATTTGTCTCACACCGTGTTTTCCAGACTCTAAATGTGTTACCCATTAATGTATCATAAAATTAAATTAGTGAGCTGAAAATCGGATGTTAAAAGGTATGAAATAGATGAGACTAGAAAATATTCGAATGAGTCTCTCAGTAAGAGAACCTCTTGTTAATCTTTTATTTTGGTTTTATGAGGGTGAGACTGTTATTCTCTCCATTTTAAAGGTAGGGAAACTGAGGCTCAGAGCCACGGGATGGTTTGCCTCAGAAAACATAAGTTCAAGGCCTCATCATGATGGAAAAATGTTTTTGGTTTTATTGTTATTATACTGCAGAGCGTAGACAAAACATGTCTGAGAGGCACTGTGTGAAACCAGAACTCTCTAGCTCCCCTAGAAGGTAGCTGCTGTCACCCCTTCACAGATGTGGAAAGTGAGGACCAGAGAGAACACGCAGCTGGCCAGTGCGGGGACAGGCAGAGCCCTTAGACGTGCCCGATGGAGCTGTGTCTGCAGAGGCAGGGGAGAATGGCCGCCCTGATAAGCAGGCACAGAACTTCATTGGGGAATGAATGAATGAGTCGCCCAGAATGCTAACTCCACGCTGCCTTTTCGTGGTCCAGACAGCAGGAAGGAAGGGCAAGCTGGGGGATGTGATATCTTTTTCACTCCCAGGCGCCTCACCTATTTCCATAAAGGACTCAGCTCACATTAAGAGAAGAAATGAAAACCCAGACAGGGGAAGCCAACATCAGTGCTAGTGGTCAAGCCAGCATTTAATGTGCCAGGCACAGGTGTTGGCTCTACAGGTGTCAATTCATTAAATCCTCACAACAGCCATTTTAATATGGGGAAACTGAGGCACACCAAAGGCCAGGCGATATGCTGCAGGTCACAGAGTGAGTAAGTTCTGGGGCTGGAACCGGCAGTTGGGCTCAGCTCTTGTGCAGAACCCGCCCGTGCTGTGGCCCCTCAAGAAACGAGAGCTGCCGTAGCGAGGGCTCCCCTGTGCCAGGCCCTGGCTGTGGCCCTACACAATAGCCAGGCGCAGCTGAGCTATTGTCATCACCCCAGAGGGGAGACTGAGGCCACTGACGTGCACTCACTGGCCCAAGAGCACATGTCACACCAGGGGGCAGGGCAGAGGGATCATGCCCCTGCCACGTCCCTCCGTGCTCCCACCACCTTTGGGCTCCCAGCCAGCGAGAGCCTTCTTCGCCCTCATTTCACACTTGCTCCTGGCACTCTCACACCCTTGAAGGACGCTCCTGACACCATAGCCTTTGTTCACCCACTTCTTTCCAGCTCGTTCCTAGAGGCAGGTTTCGGGGTTCTGTGGTGTCACTGCTAAGTGAGGGTCCTGGCAGAGTCCCCATGTTCTCATCGGTAAGCTTGGGGTGAGAATTAGAGGACATATGATCCAGGCAGAGCTTGGCTGTCAGCCAACTTGGTAAACATTGGCTTTAACTTCCCTGAGCTAGGCCTTCGGCACTCCCAGACTGCATGTCCCCCAGGCCATGGCCATCCGGCTTCACGGGCAAAACCCTCCTTACCCTCACTTTGGATTGCTTACTCCTGAAGAATTTCAGGAGGGCAGGGGCATTATTTATTATTATTATTATTGCCCCAGACAGTGTCCTGAACATGGTGGGTGCTCAGGAATTTATTTATTTTTAATTTTTACTTGAGGATATTTTTCTATTGACTTTTAGAGATAGTAGAAGAGAGTGGGAGAGTTTGCCAGGGCCTGGGCCGGGGAGGAGCCTGAAACCTAGGGAGAAACCCGCAACCTAGATACGTGCCCTTGACCAGAATCGAACCCAGGAGCCTTTGGCCTGCAGTCCGACACTCTATCCATTGAGCCAAACTGGCTAGGGCAGGAGATCTTTGCTTAACGAATGAGCACAAATACAAACCGCTAAGACGGGGTAACTTGTCCTGGGCTTCACGGGGCGGAAGGTAACAGGCCACAGTTTTGACCAGCTCAGGCTGGTGCCACACCCTTGCCCTTCAGCTATACTTGGGTCTTCAAAAAGCGTTGGGAAATTACGAAACAAAAAAACACACAGAAAATTCCCACAAAAAATAAAACTATATCTTGCCTCATTTTTCTGGGGTTGTCACACTTCTAAATATATCAGACAATTTGGTAAGCAAGCCAGGTGAGCCAGAACACACTTTGCATTGATTAAAATAATACAAATGAGAATAAAGCGTTTAAAAATAGGGCTTTAAAAATAGCTAGAGGAGGCATTTTACATTTCTTCCCCTCCACCTTCCCTAAAACAATCATGAAGTGATAATGGTTTCCTAAAACCTCATGCTTTTTGGAAGCCACATTTCTGGAGCACTTATTTCAAAATAAGAATTTACTCCACCCCACTTGGTATTTCAAATCCAAGTCTTGGTCTTGGTGCCACCCAACAGAGGTGCCAGGAAGCCCCTGCCCAACCCCAGAGCAAGGGACCATGATTAAAGCAAGCAAGCAAGCCAGGAAACGCCTTTTTAAAATTAAATATATTGGGATGACATTGGTTATAGACTTCAAGTGTACATTTCTATGAAAAATGATTTGTATATTGCATCATGTATTTGTTACCCAAAGTCAGATCATCTTCTGTTTCCAGATATTTGACCCGTTTTACCCTTTACTTACCCCCCAATCTCCTTCCTCTGATAACCACCATATTGTTCGTGTCTGTTTTTGTTTATCTTGTCTGTTCATTTGTTGCTTTTAGTTTTATATCCCATATATGAGTGAAATCATATAGTTCTTGACTTTTTATGTCTGACTTATTTCAGGCAGCATGATAGTCTCAAGATCCATACATGTTGCAAATGGCAGTATTTCATCTTTTCTAATTAGCCAGGAAGCTCTTAGCTGGGCTGTGGGGGAGTGTAATTGGGGATAAGTAAGGGTCTCTGTGAGGCCCACAGAAGGAGCAGGGGGTATGCAGTCAGCAGGCTTTACCAATTTTTAGGCCCCTGGAAAAATACATCCTTTCTGAGGCTGTTTCTTTTCTTTTCTTTTTAAATTATTTATTTACTTTTATTACTAGAGGCCTGATACATGAAATTTGTGCATGGTGGGGGGAGGGGGTATACCTCAGCCCAGCCTGTACCTTCTCCAATCTGGGACCCCTTGAGGGATGTCTGACTGCCTGTTTGAACAGGCAGACGAGCATCCCTCTCACAATCCAGGACTGCTAGCTCCCAACCTCTTGCCTGCCTGCCTTCTTGATCGCCCCTAACTGCTTCTGCCTGCCAACCTGATCACCCCCTAACCACTTCCCTGCCAGCCTGATCATTGCCTAACTGCTTCCCTGCTGACCTGATTGCCCCCAACTGACCTCCCCTGCTAGCCTGGTTGTCCCTAACTGCTTCCCTGCTGACCTGATTGCCCCCAACTGACCTCCCCTGCTAGCCTGGTTGTCCCTAACTGCTCTTCCCTGCAGGCCTGGTTCCTCAACTGCCCTCCCCTGCAAGCCATCTTGTGGCGGCCATCTTGTGTTAGAGTGATGGTCAATTTGCATATTACCTCTTTATTATATAGGATTCTTAAATCTTTTTTTGTTGAAAGTATTATATGTCCCTTCTCCCTCCCCCCCCCATTAACCCCTTCTAGCCTTCCCTTGCCCCCTCCCCAGGCTTTCAGAGGCTCAGTTTCTTCTTCTGTAAGATGGGCATAGAAATGGTCTCTACTTCCTGGGACGGTATGGGAGAGAATAAGACACATAGCATGGGGCTAGCCCATGAACATCACCAGGAAATGTAGTCAGTATGATTATTTCTTCACTGTTATTGTTTCACCCTTATGAGGGGAAGTTGCCAAGAGCTGTGTAGGGCAACTTTAAAAGCTTGGGGTTTGGAGTCACTGGGGCTTGAGTACATATTCTCTCTGCCTTGTTTGGTGATGTGGGGCAAGTCACCCCACCTCCCCAAGCTTCCACTCACCCATCTGGAAATTGGGGATGACCTTTGTGGCCTTGGGGTACAATGACAGAGAGCATGTAGCATAGCGCTGGTGCATAGTAGGTCCTCAGCAGGACAGGGTTCTCCCTGGAAGTCCTCGCCCAGATCTGTGAGGCTTGGGGAAGACAGCTCAGCTCGGTGTGGTCTCACTGGGTTTTCCCTGAGAGGATGCGAAAGTGACTCTCACCAGAATCAGGGTCCTAGAACTCTCAGAAAAGGAAAGGCCCACAGCCCATCTTCCTCCAAATCTACCTTCCCGCTTTCCCCAACCCTGTCAGTGGCAGCTTAGTCCTTCAAGTGGCTCAGGCTGAACACCTAACCCTTGACCCATCTCTTTCCCTAATCCAATTGTCCCCAAACCCTGCGGGCTCCACCTACAAAATCTGTCCAAAACCTAAACTCTTCTCCCCTCCAGTGCTCCACCCTGGCCCAGTCTCCATCCTCTCCCTCCTGGACATACAGCCACCTCTATCTCCTGCTTCCAGTCCCCCTTCCATCCCACCCTGTTCTCCACCCTCCTGGCTCAGATCCTCCCCAGGAGCACCTCACTCCTGGTAAAAGCAAAGTCCTAGCGTTGATCCAGGCTGTCTCCTGCCTCACCTTCCCCTCGATCACTCTGCTCCAGCCTCCTTGCTATTCCTCAGCCCCCACCCCAGCCTGAGGATCTTTGCAATTGCATTCCCTTCCCTTGGCCTAGAAAAGTGTCCCCTCACTTTTTTTCATAACTCTCTTTCTCACTTCCTTCAGTTCTTCGTTCCCTTACTTCTCAGGAAGCTTTCCTTCCCAGCTATGGAAAATCGCAGCCTCACCCCAACCTCACCACTCTCACCAGCACCCTGACTCTGTCAAAGCTTGATTTGTCTCCCTGCCCCTTCTTTGGTGACACATGATCTATTTTACTTATCTGCACCTTTCCTTATCCATCTCACCTATTGGCCTTTGAATGCCACAGAGCAGGGTTTTGTCTGATCTGTTCTCTGCCTACACTAGAGCCGGCGTGTACTGAGAGGGGAATGTGAATAACTATGGCTAAGGGCTGTGGCCTGGCTTAGGGGTGTACAAGGTCCTCTGGAGGACTGAGTGTGGGGAGCAGCCTGGAAGGAGCTGACATCAGCTTTTAATACCACCAGCGCCAGGCAGGAGGAGTCCCTCCCAGGCGCTGTTCTGCCCTCCTGTGTGTCCCTGCCCACTCATCTCTGTGTGAGGATGTGCCTTGTTGAGTGACGTTTATTGTTATTTCCCTCACCTCAGACTTGGGCTTGGTGAGGGCTATCTTAGTCATCTGTGTGTACCTAGCATCACCCCTCATAGGACTAAGCATGAGGTATGTGTCTATTAAAGCTTAGTGAGTTTGGTGAATGAATGAGTGAATGAATGAGCACTCCATCATCTGCTTGGGGAATTATCATGCACTTTAATATACCCAAGGCTCTGACAAGTCCTACAGGAAAGCTACCTACCCTTTCCTCTTATTTTAATTTAAGACTATAAGCTGTCTATTTAAATATTTTGGCACTCTTATGTATTAGTCAAGGGTCCTCAGATGACAAAAGACGGAAGAAAAACAAATAAACTGGCTAAATGAAAAAGGGAATGATTAACTCAACCACTTCTGGGGGTTCGTCAAGCCGGGCTCCATCAAGGAGCTTAAAACTGTCAGCAGAAGCCTCCTGGCTCTCCTCTGTGCTGGCTTATTTGTCCTCCCGGGGGCGAAGACGGCCTCGGCACAGGCAGCCTCACTCCATTTTCGGGGGGAACTGGTTGAAACAGCTTCCCTCTCCCCAATGCCCCACAAGGTCGCAGACGGACACACGTGAGCAGCCGGTTAGGAAGTGCTGTGGGAGGAGGCACTTCCCCGGTCCCAGCAGGGCCAGCCAAGTCCCCGGGCGGGCGGCTGTGCCCTGTGGACACGGTCAGGAGTGGGGGCCACGGGGCGGGAGGGAGCGCGTGGCGTCTGTCCCCCTGCAGTGCAGGTCAGCCCCGCGGACACGCGGCTCACAGTCTTCGACGAGACGGAGGGGACGTGGCGGCTGCTGTGCTCCTCGCGCTCCAATGCCAGGGTGGCGGGACTCAGCTGCGAGGAGATGGGCTTCCTCAGGTACTGGGGTGCCCTCGGAGGGTGGCTGCGGGAGGGCGGGAGGAGCAGGCCTGACCCCTGCCCGCCCAGGGCACTGGCCCACTCGGAGCTGGATGTGCGGACGGCGGGCGCCAACGGCACGTCAGGCTTCTTCTGCGTGGACGAGGGGAGGCTGCCCTACGCCCGGAGGCTGCTCGAGGTCATCTCCGTGTGGTGAGGAGGGCCGTGGGCGGTGGGGCGCACACCCTGGCCCACAGTTTCCTTCTCCGTCTGAACTGGCCTCTTTCTCTTTCTCTCTGTCCCCATCCCTGTCTTTCTTACAGTGACTGTCCCAGGGGCCGCTTCCTGGCTACCATCTGCCAAGGTGAGCCTGACACCCAGAACCTCTTTCTGAGACCAGGGTGGGACCTTGTCCCCCGAGGATGGGTCCTTGTGCCCTTCAGGTCTCCCAGGGCAGGGCCTTGTCCCGTCAGACAACCCCAAGCCGGCCGTGCCCTCTTGGCCCTCCGAGGACCAGGTCGTGTCCTCTCAGACTCCCCCAAGGGGAGCCCCCCTCACACTCCCGGGTGGGGCGTGCTCTCTCAGACCCCCTGGGGCCCCGCTCCCCTGACTCCCTCTCTGGCAGACTGCGGCCGGAGGAAGCTGCCCGTAGACCGCATTGTGGGAGGCCAGGACACCAGCCTGGGCAAGTGGCCGTGGCAAGTCAGTCTTCGCTACGACGGAGCGCACCTCTGTGGCGGGTCCCTGCTCTCCGGGGACTGGGTGCTGACAGCCGCCCACTGCTTCCCTGAGTAAGTGGCCCCCACGGCGCTAAGGGGGCAGCGGGGCAGCGAGGAGGGGAGGCTGCTTCCAGGCAGGCTGCCACCTCCCCTCCTGTTCCCTGGCAGGCGGAACCGGGTGCTGTCACGGTGGCGTGTGTTTGCCGGCGCTGTTGCCCAGGCCTCACCCCACGGCCTGCAGATGGGGGTTCAGGCAGTAGTCTACCACGGGGGCTATCTCCCCTTTCGGGATCCCAGCAGTGAGGAGAACAGTAACGACATCGCTCTGGTCCACCTCTCCAGCCCCCTGCCCCTCACAGGTGAGTCTGGGGGCTGAGCCCTGGCCTGGGGACCCTGAGGCCGGGGTCCGAGGAGAGACCGGGGCCTAGGAGCCCATGGCGATAAGGGAAATGCGCTTGAGGGACACAGGGTGGCTGCCCAGTGGGGATGATTGGTGCGGCTGCTTTGTGAAGTCTGGCAGTTCCTCAGGAAGTGAAACATGGAGTTTCCATGTGACCAGCGCTTCCACTCCGGAGGACGCCCCAAAGAAATGAAAACGCGTCCACGCAGGAGCTGGTGCACCAGCATGCACAGCGGCACTGTTCGCAGTGTCAACAGGTAGAAACGGCTGTCTGTGCTCTGACAAATGGATAAAAATGTGGCCGATCCGGACAGTAGAACACTATTTGGCCATAGGGAGGAACAACCATTTCTGTGCTGCGCAGGGGCCGACCCCGAAAGCGTTCTGCTAAGGAAGAAGTCAGACACAAGGCCGCTCTGTGACTCCTCCTATATGGACTGTCCAGAGTGGGCACGTTTATGGAGGAAGCAAGCAGATTCCTGGTGGCCAGGGACGGGGATGGGAGGTTGGGGGGAGAGGTAAGGACACAGGTTTCCCTGGGGGTGATGCAAATGTCCTAAAATTGATTGCAAGGCTGGATGTACCTCCTAGTGCTCCGCATGCCGCCCAGCATCTGTGAGCCCACTAAGGCCACTGACTTGTGCATCGTAAGCGGGTGAATTATGTGGTGTACGGATTATACCACACAAATATAAAAAAACATTTTTTTTTTTTAACCACAAAACCCCAAATGAAATGAAATGAAGACAGTGCTTTAAGTATATGGATGAATCAGGCAGTGAAGTCACCCCCTGCAGCTCTCGGGGGCATTCCCTTGCTCCCAATGAGGAAGACACTTCTCCGGGCCTGCCTGGCGGGCTGAGGGCAGGCCTTGGGTGCAGCTGCAGGTGCCATGGGGTGTAATAATGACAGAAACCATGTGGTGGAGACGGGCCTCCGAGGCACCAGGCTGAGATAACAGTGAGAGAGCACGACAAAGGGATGAGGGGATGAGAGGAATGAGCACGGACACTTGCGCGGCGCCTTCTGTGTCAGGCCCTGTTCCCAGGGTCCCGTGCACACGCTCCTTTCGTCTCCGCAGCCTGGGAGGGGGTCCTTTTATCACCCTGTTTTCCACCTGGGAGAGGTCCGGACAGAGAGGAGGTAAATGTCTGACTCCCACGGCTGGCAGATGGCAGAGATTTGAGCCCAGGCCTCCTGGCACTGGGATCAGCCTGCAATCTCGAGGCTGTTGCCAGGGAAGCAGGGAAACCATTTTGTGGTTTGCATTATACTTATTTTTATGGTTATTTTCTTTTTAATGATTCATGATTCTGGTTTTCCATTTAAGGGAGTGATACATATTCTTTTTCCCCTTAAAATAAAGTCTCCTCTTCAGTGAAGAGTGAGGGGTTGGCAGCACTGAAGTAAGGAAGTATCCATGAGGCACAGAGGGTAGAGTGAGAGTGTCTTGAGTTCAAAAAAACACGGCTGAGGGGGTAACAGCTTCACCGTCAGACGCAGGTCCTTGCCAGCTGTGTGATCCGGGCATGTGGCTTTACCTTTCTGTGCTGTAGTTGCCCTCATCTGTAAAAAGGACTTCCTAGGTTATTGACATGATTAAAAGTGAATATGAGTCCCGACCGGTGTGGCTCAATTGGTTGAGCGTCCCTTGCACCAAAGTTCGAGGGTTCGATTCCCAGTCAGGGCACGTGCCCAGGTTGCAGTCTCGATCCGCAGTAGGGGGTGTGCGAGAGGCAGCCAATCAATGTTTCTCTATCATCATTGATGTTTCTATCTCTTTCCCTTCATCTTTCTCTAAAAATAAATCAATAAATAAATAAATAAATAAATAAATACATAAATACATACATACATAAATAAATAAATACATAAATACATACATACATAAATAAATAAATACATAAAAGCATATTTAAAAATAAAGAAAAGAACGCGGCCTGGGAATTGGGCAAACTGGGTTCAAATTCCGGCTTTGCCATTGACTCATTGTGAGACTTTGAACAAGTGCCTTGGCCTCGCCCCCCTTCTGTGAAATGGGGTAACAGTCCTCTTCCTCCCTGGGCTGGTGGAGGTGGAAGGAACTGACCAGGAAGTTGCCAGATTCCGAGTGAGCGCGCAGTAGATGGCAACTGCTGCTGTAGCTGCTTTAAAGGACAGAGGACCGGGTGTGGCAGGGGCACTGGAGGCAGCTGGACAGACGTTGGCTCCAGGTAGGGCTGGACCAGCGTGGTCTCTCTCGCAGAATACATCCAGCCCGTGTGCCTCCCAGCTGCTGGCCAGGCCCTGGTGGATGGCAAGATTTGTACAGTGACTGGCTGGGGCAACACGCAGTACTACGGTGAGTCCCTCCCTCTGCCTGGGAAGCCGCCATGCGGGAGGCTGACCAGGGCCAGAGAAGAGCAGTCTGGCAGGTTTGGTGCCTCCTGGCCCTGGACACAGGGACACTGAGGAGCCTGGGGTGGGCACCAGGAGGGTAGGGGGTGTGCATGCTCACCAGCTCTCCCCAGCCTTGCTCCACACACCCAGGCCAACAGGCTGGGGTACTCCAGGAGGCCCGAGTCCCCATAATCAGCAACGATGTCTGCAACGGTCCTGATTTCTACGGGAACCAGATCAAGCCCAAGATGTTCTGTGCTGGCTACCTCGAGGGTGGCATCGATGCCTGCCAGGTGAGGGGTTGCGGGGCACAGCCCCTGACCCTGCCACTCTGGAAGTGGAGGCACAGGGCAGCGGGTGGCCAGGCTCCCTGCCTCAGGGCCAGATGACAGTGACCACAGCCGTGGCCATCCGGAAGCACCTCCAGCCATGCCTCCCCTTCTCCCGCCAGGGCGACAGTGGTGGCCCCTTCGTGTGTGAGGACAGCATCTCTCGGACCCCACGCTGGCGGCTCTGTGGCATTGTGAGCTGGGGCACTGGCTGTGCCCTGGCCCAGAAGCCAGGCGTCTACACCAAAGTCAGTGACTTCCGGGAGTGGATCTTCCAGGCCATAAAGGTGAAAGTGGGGCCCACATGGAGCCAGAGGACGCAAAAGTCTGGGACTCTCACTGGGGAAAGGCAGGCAGGGTTTTCTGGAGACTTTGCTCGGGCCTAGAAGAGGCACCTGGAGCAGAGGCATTTCAGAGGGCTTCTTGGAAGAGGAGGCTAGTTGTGGGACTTTGAGGGAAGCCTCTCAGACCTCAGAAGGCCCCAATTGTCTCCCCAGACTCACTCCGAAGCCAGCGGCATGCTGACTCAGCTCTGACCTGACCTTCTCCTGCTGCGGACGCCTCCGGGCCCGAGCTGATGTAGATGGCCTCAGCCCACGTGGTGGGACTCACCCTGGGCCTGGGATGGAACTTTTCTTCTGGGGCCCAGCCCACAAGTCCAAGGATGCCCTCCCTCCAGGGTTCTTCCACAGTGGCGGGCCCACTCAGCCCTGGGACTACCTGAGACTCACCTTCCTGACCCGCGTGTAAATATTGTTTGCCACCTGGGGATCCCCATCTAGGTATCTCCGATGAAAAGCTGTTCTTTAAATAATAAAATCGGTTTTGATTAATGTGGCCTCTGAGTTTGCGAACATAAAAAGCAATGAGGAAGGAAACAAAGAATTAGGGCCTGGAACAAACCAGGCAGGGACCGTGACCTCTAATTCCCACTGGCTCAGGAGAAAAGAATTGTTTCATAACTGGAGGTGCCCTGAAGCATCTGGCTGCAGGTACTGTTGGATCCAGCTACATATATATATATATATATATATATATATATATATATATATTTTTTTTTTTTTTTTTTTTTTTTACCAGAACTGTGCCTGCTTTCCTTGAAAATCTGCTTTTCTCTGGGTCAGCTTCACATCCAAGCAACCTTCCCTACAAGCAGAGACAGAGATGCCCCCCCCCCCAAAAAAAAAATAACTACCTACCTCTGGGGTTACACACCATGAACCACTTAGTGCCAGAGGGAAGGGAATGCTTCTTCCCCAACAGCCATAGCAAAAAAGCCCTAGGTCTGTTCTCATTGGACAGATTTGGGCCATATGCTCATCTCTTATCAAATCACTGTACACCTGACACATGAGGTGGGAGGGAGGTTTGACCCTCAAGAACTGCATGAATGTGGGAGTTCTCCAAAGGCACATGGGTTGCTATTTCCAGAAAAAATAAATGTAGATACCCAATAAGAAAAAAAGACATCCACCTTTGGTCAACACAGGAAAAGGCCCTACGTAGGATGAAGATAGGAGCACCAGCCTTGTGAGCACAGCCTGAGACCCCACCTCTTCCTTCATCACTTCTTCCTTCATCGAGGCTGGAAGTTGGGTCCCAGCTACGGACACCCACTGTGTTTTCTAAAGCATCTGCTGCGTTTGTAGGGGCCCAATGGCCACCAGGGGGCGCTGCTGCCTCTAAACTGCGAGAAATTAAGGCCCTTTTGGCTAGTCTTGCCCACTGTTGCTGAAAAGGAGATACTCTGCAGGACAACGCTGATCGAGTGCAGGTTTCCCATCACTTTCAACGGCAACAATTATAATGTTTTCCCCATCAACTACAAGCCCCCAAACAATTTTCTAGAACATTAATAGACACAGGAAAGCACCTCTGAATAATGCATTATCTTGGAAAATGCTCCAAGCATCACTCCCAAACTGTGCATGGTTGATCCCCACCCTGCTTAGTCCATCATAGCATCCAGGTTCCACCCCACATCTGGTTGGCAGAGCTCCACACAGTTTTCCCAGACGCCTGCCTGTGGCTGGCAGCCCTGGCCATCCTGTTTGAGGTGTAATCGAAGACCTGACTCACGTGGCTGTGTTAGAAGTGCATTACTTACAGGGCTGTGATATACCCTCTCCTTTGTAACTGTCAGCTGGAAATTGTACTGAACCTGTGTTTCATGAAGTTCTGGGACTTGGAAAATATGGCCCACCCGCGGGTTCTGAGCAGATCACGTCCTAGAGCGTCTGAGAGGGCACAGCTCAGCCTAGCCAGGAAGGAGCGGTCTAGGAGGAAAGGCTCCTGCTCTGTGGGGACTGAAGGGACCACGGCCCTGCCCTGGAGGAGCTGAGGGATGTGGCCCTATTCCAGGGTATCTGTCTGAAATTTGGACATTAAAAGTCCAAAGGCAGCCTACTGGGAAAATGTCAATCGGGGCCCCTGTGGGTTCTGCAAGCATCATTGCTGCCGTGGAGGGAAAGTGGGGAGGGGAGATTATCATTCATTCAACAGCCATTGACCAGTTTCCTTTGTATCCTAGGGGTCAGGGAGCCCCAGTTTCTCCTCCTGTTCCCACCAACCTGCCACCCATCCCCGAGAAAGTCCCAAAGAGATTGGAAAAATAATAACAACCGCAGGGCTGCTTTGAAGTAGTGCTGGAATTTTGATCTTCAGAATAACTGCCTATCAAAACTCTCACTTCCATGTAATTGCTGTGCATCTCTGCGCCAGAGCATTTGGCCCGTCTTATCTAATTACTGTAACCACATCAGGAACAGCAGCAAGGCTCTGCACTCATTGTTATGTTTATAGCTGAATATTCACTTTCAAATATAGAAAAGCCTCCTGGGTGTAACTTGGAACGGAAAGCTCCGTATGCGGTTTATAAATTGGCATTCTCCAGTCAAATTCAAGGAGAAATGTACAATTATCCTTTCACAACAGTTATTCTGAAAGTAAAATGGCACCATGATTAACAATGATTGTGGTGGGCATTCATTTTATATTCAGAAATAATTATTGTGAATGTTCAGATAGTGGTGTAAGTATGGAATGGATTTTTGTTTCTGCAGAAAAGGAATACTACTTAAATCCTGCCGTTATTAAGTGAACAGGTGTTCCAGTTCTGCTGCTGTGTAACAAACCGCCCCAAACTCAGTGGTGTAAAATAGCAACCATTTATTATGCTCAAGATTATGTGGTTCAAAGTCAGACTGAGAGCAGCAGGGACCGCTTGCCTCTGCTTCATGATGTCCAGCTCCTCATCTAGGAGACCTACAGGGCAGAGTGGCTCAGTGAGCAGGGCCTGGGTTGTGAGCTTCCTTACAAGCCTGGTGTCTGGGCTGGAAGGCTCAAAGGCTGGGCTCAGTTCGGACTTCCAACTTAGTGTCTGCCCAAATGGCTTGCACATCCTGCCAGCATGGCTGTCTAAGGGCATTTGAATTCCTTACATGGTTCAGGGCTACGGAGTGAACATTCCAGCAAATGCTGCCTTTTGCACCCAGTCTCACTTCTGCTTTACTCTGTGGTTGAAGCAGCATACACCTGCCCAAACCCAATGAGAGGAAACAGAGATGGACCCCAACTTTCTATCTGTTGAAAAAATTTTGGCCATGTTTTAGAACTGCTACAGGAACTATTGACTATGGAAGCGCGTTGGCTGCTGACAGAAGAGGAATTATACTAAATTATTATTGAAGTGTTCAGTCTGGAAGATTCACCTGCTATAGTCCTATATAACAAAAGCTTAATATGCAAATCAACCAAATGGTGGAACCACTGGTGGAACATGTGACAGTCGGCCTAGCCAGCCCAAGAGAGATAAGGCTCTGGAGACAGACCAGACCAGAGTAGAAAAGTTTAAAAAAATAAAGTCATAACTCAGTGCTGGGAATTCCTTTGGGGTGGGACATGCAGACCTTCCTCCGGATCTGGCTGGGAAATTGGGGTCATAAAAAACCCGCAGCATCCTGCACTCCTGTCTGTCAGAACAGACATTCTGTTTGAAGCAAAACAGGCCAGGTTGTATAAATCACCTAAGGAACAGCTTAGGATGGCCAGTTCTTTGTCCTGAGGAGCCAATTAGGGAGTGACAGACCAACAGTGGGATGGGATGGGAAAAAGAGGTATAAGAGGAGGGACTGCCCCTCCATCGGGGCTCTTGCCTGGGTGTTTGCCAGCTGCTGTGTCAGCCAAGGTTTGAGCCCGGATTCGAATCTGTAATAAATTCTTGCATGCTTAATCAAATTGGCTCCGGTGGTTCATCTCTTGGGGACTCGCTTCGTAACAGAACCGGCTGCTATGATGCACACTGACCACCAGGGGGGCAGATGCTCAACACAGGAGCTACCCCTAGCCCGCAGATTCCAGGCCAGTCAAGGTGGGTGCCAGCAGGCGTCCCCTAATCGCCCCTTGGGTTGTACCACAGAGGGAGGCGACCAGTGGCGATGGGGGCGGGAGTGGGGTGGGGCTGGCCAGCAAGTGGGCTAGGTGCTACCCCTCAGTCACCCCATGGGTCGCCCTGCAGATCGGCCCTGATTGCCTGTCAGGCCTAGGGACCCTACCCGTGCACGAATTTCATGCATCAGGCCTCTAGTGTGGATAATAAAATTCTGACAGTAATACATGATTAATACATTTTCTGATTTGTTTATATATCATAGTAATTCATTCTTAGATAGTGATATTCATTTAGCTTTGGCCATATCTCTTAAGTTAAACATTTTTTTAACTACAGTTGACATTCAATATTATATTGGTTTCAGGTGTGCAGTACAGTACATTTATATAACTTACAAAGTGATCTCCTTGATAAGTCTTGCACCCACCTGACATGATATAGTTATTACAATATTATTGACAACATTCCCTGTGCTTCATTTTACATCCCCATGACTAATTTGTAACTATCAGTCTTAAAGGTCCCAAGCACAGGCCCACTTATGTTGGAAGCTGCCCATTGTCCTCACTAGCAGAGAGGTGTTAACAAGAAACCCAGAAAGCTGGAGACCCTGAGCTCTGAAAGGTCAGAGCCAACCACCCACTGTCTGGTTGAGACAATGGTAGCTGAAGCAACCTCCACTGTTTAGTCTTATGTAAATCCTTGCTGATGGACTCTCATCCAGCTGTTACTGGAAATTGCCTGCCTAAGGGCTGTAGGTGGATCACAAACCCGAATAAAAGGGATTGGTAGGCCAGAGCAAAGTGGAGTCCTCTCTTGGGCTTCCGCCTGTCCCCCAATCCCTAAATTAGTAGTTTATTGTCTCTTTAGTTTGTGGGAAGCCTCCTCCAGAGCCCGAACTCTGAACCTGAACCCTAAACCCCATGTGGGACATGGGAGGTACTTTTGCAACTGGCAGCCCAACATGGGGCATTCACACACTTATTCACAAACACTCACCCTGAGCTCCAGGGAAGTAACAGCAGCTAGACAAGCTGCAGGGACATCAGGGGAGAAACTGAATGATCTGGCATCAGAGCAGCTCTTCTGGGACAGAGTATTACCTGGCACCATTGTTCCTTTGTGGATATCTCCCGACACAGTGCA